ACTGACTGGGACCATGATTCTGTGGCCACAGGTGGCAGCCCCCACAATCCAGCACTGAGCTGTGATACCACAATGAAAAAGTGTTTGGAAAGGAAAGGGTCTGTGTGTGCGCATGCGTGTGTGTGTACACATGTGCGCTAAAGCAAGCTTAACTAAAATAGCAGTGTAAGCACAGTAACACCTTTGCAGTCTCCAGTCGTTTCCTGGCCTATAGTAAATGCTTAATAAATAGGAGCTCGTGGCCATGATAACTTTGACCCCTCACTTGCTTCTGCTGTTAGGGTGGGGGTCACCTCAGAGTCTGCCTGGCGGCTGATCCCGTTTCTCTGTCCTTGTCCCTACCCCTCCCTCCTCAGCAGCTACCTTCCCTGCAGCACTGCCACAATAGCTGTGCTTGTGGCTCCCACAAGCTGTGCAGCAGAATGGCCTTCTGGCATAAATAAAAATAAACCCCAGATGCTGCTTTTCAGTCAGAGGTTTATCCTAAATGTTGGGAAACAGAAAGCATGAAATATGCATGGGGTAACAGCCCTTCTTGCTCGGCAGCCTCCCCTCAAGGACCGAGGTACCCGGCGCTTGTTCCCTCCCCGCACAGCTGCTGCTGATTTGTGCCCAGGGTCGGCAAACTCTGTTACCACATTATTAACACTCCACACTCCAACAAAGGACAATGGCCTATTGCTTTGTAATGTGCTGTCTGCCGCTGCAGCCGGAGCTCACGAAATGGGGCTTCTGTATGCGGTGACAGTGTTTCCTCTTCCCTGCCCCAGGCCTCATCTGGAAGTTCCACAGCAACCTGAAACCCGAGAGCTTGGGAGCAGAGCAGGACTGTGCGAGGCCAGGGAGTCCCCAGACACAGCCACCCCCCTGTTCCTAGCATGCACCCGAGTGTTCAGTTTCCTCCCAGGGAGGCAGGTGCCTGTGCAGCTGGGCATCCCTGGGGGCTGTGGGGGAGAACACATAGCCTCAGGCCCCCATGGCAGGCCACCAGGTGGGTTTCTTGCTCTTGCACAGAAGTCTAACAATAAAATTTTAAAATGATGCCGCTTCACAGGAGAAGCCCGAGTTGCTGGCTTCTGAAGTCACAGGGAAGGGATGACCTTGAGAGCTGCTGGCCCTCAGGGGTCTGTAATCACTTCAGCCCCTTCCAAAAGGTTCCTGAGGTGGGTTGAGCAGTGTCCCCTTAAGTACTATACTCTCCCCAAACTTCAAAATGCAACCTTACTTGAAAATGAGGTCTGCATGGATGGACCGGGCTAAGCTGAGGTCACACTGTGCTAGGGTGGGCCATCCTTCCGGTGATAGGTGCCCCCACATGAAGAGGGAGATGTGGACATGCAGAAACACGCAGGAAGACGGCTGTGGAAGATAGCGAGCATAGAGGGTGGACTGAAACAGCCTCAAGCCAGGAACACGAAGAATTGCTGGCTGCCACAGAAGAGGAGGTGGCCCAGGACAGGGTCTCCCTGGGGCCTTGGAAGGAGCCCACGCACTGATACCTTGATTTCAGCTCTGTCCTCCAGGGCAGCTAGAAAACACAGTACTAGTGCTTCAAATCACTCCTTTGTGGCCTTCCCTCCTTCCTCCCTCCCTTTCTCCCCACCTTCCTCCCTTCTTCCCTTCCTTCTTTTCCTCTTTCTTTTCTTCTGTATGGGGAATTGAACCCGAGCCTTGACACTGAGGTACATCCAATTTACTTTTTTAAATTTTGAGATAGAATCTCACTAAGTTGCTAAATTTCTCAGATTGGGCTTGATTTTGTGATCCTCCTGCCTCAGCCTTCCAGAGGGCTGGGATTACAGGTGTGTTACCACACCTGGCTCTTTGTTGTCCTTTGTTTTGTTTGAGACAGTGTTTACTTTCTTCAGGCTAACCCTAAACTATGTAGACCAGGCTGACCTCAAACAACGGTGATCCTCCTGCCTCCTGTAGAATTATAGGCAGGCACTACCATGCCCAGCTGTTATTTCTTATAACAGCTTCAGAGAGGACCCCACTCAGCCTATAGTTACTGTGTGTCTGACTCCCATGAACAGCACCGCCATCCTTTCCAGAAGTCCTTCTCCATTTTCTTGGACAGAGGCCCCCATGCCTGCTGAGCCTCCTGCCTTTGGGCTTCTGGTCTTACCAGCCAGGCCAGCAGATCCTGTGGGCAGTAGAAGGGGGCTGGAAAAGGCTGTATTTATGGTACCAGAGCAGATGCCGAATCTCTACCCGCCCTGGGGAGGGCAGCTCAGCTTACAGTGGGGAGAGCTAGGGTCCACCCTGCCACTTCTTGACTGTCCCCTCCTGTTCCTGCTCCCAATTCTCCTCTAGGGAGTTTCCTTGCCTAGGGAGACTCTCCTGCCTTGTCCTAAGACATTGGGTCTTTGTCTACAGCAGTGGATCTCCACTCTCCCTGTTTATGTTGGGGGAGAACTTGGGATATTAAAAGACCAAATTTGTCTAGGCCCCTCCCTAGGGATGGATCAGAATAAGGCCTCAGTTTCCCTAAGCTCTACAGATGGGTTACTGCTGTGGGCCAGGGCTGAGACCCCAGGCTACAGGGCAGGATCTAGATTTGGGTTCCCCAGAAGCAGAATCTGAGACAAGGATCGAGTGCGAGTAGTGTGGTTAGCAGGTGACCCCAAGAGTACTAACAGGGCCCCAAGAGTGAAGCAAAGGGACAAGGCAGCCAGAGGGTGTGTCACAGAGTGGGTGACACCTGGGCACTGGGCGTGGTCTTGTCTCCACTGCAGGTGGATGCCAGTGATGGTAACCGCAGCTGCAGAGGAGGCAGCCTAATGGGCTGTGCGGGCTCCCAGGCTGCATCCTTCGGACACCCAGGGAGCAGCTATGGTAGCGTGAGACTTTGCCTGGGAAAATGAGACACCGAGAGGTTGAACCTAAGGTTGCAGGACGTGAGGACCCACGGTTTTCCTTGCAGTGTACATGGCACCACCAAGAGTAAAGAGCCATTTATACTGCGTTTTACTGTGGACCAGAAGCTGTGAATTCTTTTTTTTTTTTTTTTTTTTGTCTTTTTTGTTTTTATCGGTACCGGGGACCGAACTCACGACTGCCTGCTTGCAAGGCAGGTGCTTATGCCGCTGAGCTAAATCCCCAGCCCCCTAGAAGCTGACAAAAGAGAAACAGCAGTGGACGGGAGCAGGCAACTGGACAACTGGCACACAAAATATCGCTTGCCATTCCATTCCTGCTGTGTCTCCCTGCTGGTCCAGAGGCTGTTAGAGAGTGGAAGGGGCTCACTCTCTCTCACATCCAAGTCCCGGCTTCTGGCTGGGGCTGGGGCACTTGCCTGGGTGACCCGGCCCAGATCGGGTCATGTGTTTCAGAGAGAGCCCACCTTGTGCTGCCAGAGGGAGATCTTCTCTGGTTAAAATGTCAACCAGGTGTAAATGCCGATCACTGCCAAGCCCGCATGAGAGGGCACATGATCAGAAGGGCCACTTCATGCCTTAGCGAGGCTGTGAGTTTGGCCCTGCAGCCAGGGATTGAAGTATCACTGGAGTTTGTGGCAGATGGAGGCACCCAGGCGCCTGGTGTGATTTAAGCATTCAACAGCCCCCCCCAGTAGCTTCTTAGCCAGCCTTCAGAGACGCCTGGATTTCTCGACACTATCCGTCAATCTTTGGTACCAAGGCACAGTCAGCATGTCCTTGTTCAATGCAAATTTGTTACCTAGCCAGACTAACATATTAATCCGCCAACACCAATTTATCACCCGGTTTTTGCACTGGCAGAAAGCAAGGCAATGAGATAATGGAGCTCAGGGACAGATGAATTTCAAGGCAGGAGCAGGAAAAGTGGGGAGCTTGAGTCGCTGCTGGAAATGGCTGGGCGAGGGCAGGGAGGAGGCGGGGGGGGGGCAGAAGCCAAGGGGCTAGGGTCCGTCGGATGGGACCAGGACCAGATGGAGAACAAGGACATTCTCCACCGGAAACCAGGCTGCAAAATCGCCTCCGGCCAGGACAGACTCTCAGGGTATCAGGCGTGCTGGGCACCCGGCCCAAGGCCCTGGCCGCTCTGCTTTGCGGGTGAGAGGTGCCACGCTGCTAACCCCTGGCCTTGGGCAGTGCCATCTCTGCCTGTCAACTTTCCTCAGATCCACCCAGGTGGCTAGAAACATCTGATCCACAACTGCAAACAACTCCAGAGTCAAGTGTGGGATGCGGGGTCAGGGGATCTGTGGTTGAGCAAAGACTCAGGTCTTTCTGGAGCTCCTGGTCACTCATTTTACAGCTGAAACTCTTTCCACTGGCATGTGACATCAAACACGGGTTAATGCGGAGTCCGAAGCTAGCCAAATCTCAGGCCCCACCGGGTCACACTGGGGGCTCCAGGTCTGAGCGCCATAGGTACTAAGCCGACCGCAGGGAATTTCTGACAGCACTGGACAGCACCGTGGGCACAAAGCAGTCGATGCAGAAACACTTGGGTTGCAGAGACAGGGACCCATAAGGTCGGGAGCGAGGGAAGGGGTCTCTCCGCCCCGCGCTAACCTTTTGTGCGCTCTTCAGGAGCTGAAAGAGCTCTCGGCTCTCGGGGCTGCACTGCCCTAGGAGAGGCGCATGGCCCTGCCCACAGGTCCCGCCAAACCCCAGGCACTGGTGCTCCGCCCTGCACCTTCCAGGGAGCGCGCGCGCGCGCGCGTCTGGGCTGCGGCCGCGAGGTGGCGCCGGCGCGCCAAGCAAGCGTGGAGGCCGCTCGGGGCCGCCCCAGCCGCCGCCGCCTCCTCCGAGCGAACAATGCGCTGCTTCCGCGCCTAGCGCTGCGCCGAGCCGGACGCCGGACACCCGAGCGCGAGCGCGGCAGCCAGCCGAACGGCGGCCTCCCCGGAAGCCATGGGCGCGGAGCAGCGCGGGGCCGCAGAGCGGCGCGGCCCGGGGGCGCGGGGGGCCGGGGCGCGGGCCCTGGGCCGCCTGTAGCCGGCGCGGAGCGCGGGCTCGGGGATGCGGGAGCCCGCCGCGGGGAGCTCGTCTGCACGGCGCCGCGGAGCCGTCCCGCCCAGCCAGCGAGCCCGAGCAGGCAGACTCGCGGCCGGCGGTTTGGGGGCGCGCCGCCTCCCAGCCCCCAAAATGTGAAGCGGGGAGGGAGGAGTCCAGAGACGGCCGGGCCGGGCGCCCTCGTCGCCCTCCGCCAGGCGCGCCGCTCCCTGCCCCCGTTCTGAGGCCGCGACACCGCGCGGCGGCCGGAGCAGCGAAGCCACCGGGTCCCGCGCCGCCGCCTCCCTCCGACCCGGCTTCGGCCCGCGGCGGGTTCGCGGCCCGGACGCGGCGGGAACCGAGCCCAGGGCAGTGCGTCCGGCCTGGCCCGCGGCTACTCGCCCAGATAGGTTGAAACAATGATCACAGTCAACCCGGATGGGAAGATAATGGTCAGAAGATGCCTCGTCACCCTGAGACCCTTCCGGTAAAGTTCGCTTCGGGTTGGCGTGGGGTGCGGGTGGGCGAGGTCCGTCCCGGCGAGGACGCAAAGGGCGTCCCAGTGGCAAAGGAGGTGCGCGATTCAACCCTTGGTGGTGCCTGTGCGGCCGAGGGAATGGAGTTAGGGTTGGGGTGCGGGTGAGCAGGGAGTGTAATCCTGGACCCGTCCCGCGTTGGTCTAGGGTGGAGAGGACTTGGGGTGCACAGGTGCGGGTGGGGAAAGGAAGCACTCAGCTTGTGGTCCTGGCCCGAGAAGTCGCCCTCGCCTCTTTCCCAGCCCTTCGGTCCTCCCCACTTAGCGGTCAGTCCCATCTGGGGAGCAAAGTTGGTGCACGGGGCCGGGGCAGCGCCCCCTTCTGCCGAGACCGTCGGGCCCCTAGACAGCCCCCCACCCCCGTCCCCTCTGCCTGATTCTTCCTCCTGCCCGGCCCTCGGAGGCACTCCCCTCCTCGCGGCAGCAGAGGCCCTGTGTGGGACGGCAGGATCCCCAAGATTGGAGAAGGGGCCTTCAGATGGGGATTCGCCTCCGACCGCGGGTCTGCGGGGGCAAAGGCAGCTGGAGCGGGGAGGGCGGGTCGAGGAGGAAACGATCTCTCGCGCACTCAGGGCACAGTGGCTGCGCAGGGTTCTCCGGTCTCTGCTCTGCGTGCGGGACGGCTTCTCCTCCCGATGTCCCCGCGCTGGGTGGTCCAGGGCGGGAATGTCAGCCCAGAGACGCCAAGGGGTAGAGGGTGCGGGCGCGGGGCGGCGGGACTCCGGACGGGCCACAAGTGGGGACCTGGCTGACGCTCCAAGCGGAGGAGTTGCGAGGCTTGGGTTTGGAGCAGGCGGCCTTGAGCCCCCTCTCCCCTGGGCCTCCAGTGTGATCCTGTTCCCTCCGGGCCCTCAAGGTCTCCTCCAGGGCCCCTGCAAGTCCCACTGGAGCTGGGGGAGGGGGAGACTGTGACCCACTTGGCATTTGCCCCCCATCGTGAGGGCAGCTTGGGGACCGCAGAGGGCAGACCTGTCTGGGAGGGTGCGGAACTGCAGCAGAGCCGGGCTTTATTCGGGTTACTGGTGGGCACCGGGATCCCTGGCCAGAGTTTGCCCATGGGAAGATGGGCAAGAAGTGGGCTTCTCTGGAGAAGGCCTGAGTTCTCCAAGGAAACCCTTGAATCCTTTACTGGTCTGTTCTAGATTCTGAGAGGGTCTTCTCCCGCCCCCACTCTCCGGCCTCACCCCCCTCTCCCCACCCTCCCCCCCCGCCCCCGCCCCCGCCCCCGCCCGTGGGCCCCTCCCTGCACACCGCGGGGAACCCCCTTCAGCGGGACTTCTTAGCGCAGCCCCCAGGACCTCGGACAGCGCCCGGCCTAGCTCGGCTTCCTCTTTGGTCCTTTCCCTCTTCCCTTTGGGCTTCTATGTGTTTTTCACGCAATATCTTACTATGTCGTTCAGGCTGGCCTTGAACTTATTATGTAGCCCAAGCTGGCCTCGAACTCGTGGCAAGGATCTTACCTCAGCTTCCCCAGTGCTAGGATTACAGGCCTGTGCCACCAGGCCCAGCTGGGCTCCTGTCTGCCAGCAGCACTGGGCTGAGGTTGCATGCCCTTCCCCAAGTTGTGCAACTTAACCTCAGGGTCCCTGCAGGCTGCTAGGACCCGCTGCAACCAGGGGTTTTCTTTTCCCATCAGAGGGGGGCTCTGATTACATCAGTACAGCTTGTTCAGCCCCAGGGCAGGCTGGGGACACTGTTCTGTTGGCTTTCCTAGAGCACTGGTGGGGCTTTTATTCTGTAGCTGCTCCTAAATGTTGCTTGAATGGATATGTGAGTGGATGAACCCACTTTAAGTTGAATCCATTGTATGTGAGTCCAGCTGCTTTGGGGACCTGGACTCCAGCTGCTTTGGGGACTGGCAGAGGGAGAATCAGATGAAAGGTGCTGGGGCTTCAGGGTCTGGGCTAACAGTGTAGACACCTTTCCCAAGCAGCTCTAAATACAAACCCCTGGCTGGGGAGAAGGCAGATGCATCTCTCCAGGATGCTGGGACCTGCAGCCACCAGGGGTTTGGAGGCAGTGGAGACTGGCTGGGGAAAGTCCTTTCTCTTCCTCAGACCTGGAGGACAAGTGAAAAACTTCCCTTGGGATCTTCCTGGGGGCATGACACCCCCCTTCCTGCACTGTTGCTCTGCTGACAGCCTGAGACCCACCTGAGTCCTGCTAGGAGACCCCAGGGTCTGAGCCCCAGTCCTAGACTTGGAGAAATCCAGTGCGTGGCCCTTCAGTGTCTCTGGTGCCATCTTTCCCACTGTATCCCACCCCCCTCCCTGGCCGGGACGCGTCTTGTAACTTTCCCCCCTGGGGGAAGCTCCCATGCCCTCTTTCTGTCTGTGGGTCCTGCCCTTCTCTAACTTAATCTCTAACAGCTTCCTTTAAATATGGGCTGGGAATTTTGTTGTGCTTTTTATTTTCTTCTTCAATTATGTGTTTTCTTTAATGGACCAAATTTTAATTAAATACTGCTCTGCCAGCTTCAAATAATGAAGATTAAAATGCATAAAACAAGTGTTGCATAAAGATAAAAACAAGCCCTGAATTTGAGGTGAGGATCGAGGCAGCTGGAAGTCCCCAGTGTGGCCTGTGGGGCCCTCCCTGGCCAGCTTGGCTCCACACGGGGTAGGGTTTCTCATCCTGAGCTAGAGGAGGGGCCTCGCCTCTCAGCTCTGCCAGTCCGTTGTATCCCCTGGTAGATCCAAGGCCCCAGAACATCTGCCACCTCTGACTGCTCCCCAGGCTGCGCTGCCAGCCCAGTTCTCTGGTTGGAGCCCAGGACTGAGCATTAAGGAGTCGGGACCTGAGCTGGGCTTAAGAGCGTGCTCTGTATCTAGTTCCCTGCTGCCTCCCTGGGCTACCCCAGGACCTGGCATCTGGTGAATAACCAATAGCTGGCTGTTGAGAGAACAAGCAAGGTCATGTTTGACCAATCTTCCCACCCCGGTGACAACACAGTTGCTCGTGTGATGCCCCATGTCCAGGTGTGAGCACGCTCTAGGCATAGCTCTGGGTGTCAGTGTGCTGGCTGACAAGCATGGTGTGCGGGTCTGGTGAGGAAATGGGGGTGGGGTCTGGGCACAGCAGGGGCCCACGTAGCCTTGCCTGGGATCTTACCACCAAGCAGTGACAGCGTACATGCCACCTCTGAGAAGACAGATGGGGAGCTTTCGCTGTGCGCCTGATGGCGGCAGGTACACGGGGCAGAGCGGGCCCAGGTGATGGACGCAATCCAGGTGGGTCTCAGCTGGACCAATTACCTGCTCTGTGGCTGGCCTCAGGCCCTGCCGCTCCATCTATGCCAGTGGTTCTCAAACTTCAACATGTGTCCGAATCCCCGGGAGAGCTCGTTACAGCAGCTGTCTGTTTCTGTCACAGTGTTCAGCTTAGAAGTCTGGGGCTTGGGGCTCCAGCCTGTGTGTTTCTGATGATTCTCAGGTGACGCTGCCCTTTAGGGACCACCCTTTGAGACGCTCTTACTGCAAACAAGCCGGGCTTTCTCTTAGGGCGAGGCACTGCTCCAGTGTCTACCTAAATGGCACGCTTCTCCCCAGGGGTCTTTTATGGGCTCCGTGTTTGTAGCCCGCTCTTGGCTCTGCCCTCCAGGGGTCGGCTTCTGGGCCCTAAAACCCAGCTTCTGCTCGCATTGTTCCATCTCCCCGGCTTCTGTTCCTCACTCAGTCATGCTGAAAGCGTTTATGTGCCACTCCTCGTTAGAGGCTGGGGACACTGTGTCACCGGCCTGCCTTGCTTGACCTGGCCTCTTCGTCCCCACAGGCTTTTTGTCCTGGGCATCGGCTTCTTCACGCTCTGCTTCCTGATGACCTCTCTGGGAGGCCAGTTCTCCGCCCGGCGCCTGGGGGACTCGCCCTTCACCATCCGCACAGAAGGTATCTTAGGGGCAATGGGAGTAAAACCTAAGTGACAGTGTTTGATGGAAGGGGAGATGGTGCCTTGGGATCCTGCCCTGTGGAGGGCTCCCTGGGCCCAGGCATCCTGGTGACCTCACAGGTAAATGCAGAAGAGGCATTTACCTTGGCTATGTGCCCTTGCACGCTGCTTTGGCTCTGGTCCTTCCTGTGCCTGGGGCTTCCTTGGGCCAGAGACAGGGGCTGTGAGCCAGGGTCTCCAGGCATCTGGAGAGCCTGCTTGTGGGGCTCCTTTAGTTGAGGTGTCAGGAGTGGCCTGTCTGGGTATGATGCCTGCCTCTGAGATACACATTTCCTGTACCTTTGGCCCAGGCTGTGGTCACAGAGGGGACCAGGCCAGGCCACAGGCTCCTGTGTCTCATTTCTGAGCTCCCAGGGTGCAGTTCTTCACTGTTCCTTGCCCGGGGGACCATTGCAGGGTGCGGGGTCATGGTTCATCCCCTACCAGCTGTGACCATCAGCCCAGTCTGTTATGTCACCACAAGGGCCGAGAGGAAAAGTAGTGACCTTTCCAGAGACTGGGCTGGGTAGGCTCACACAGCAGGGGTGTGACAAACTGGGGGTCCTAATGCTGGGGTGGTGGTCATAGAGCCCTGCCCAGGGGGCCCGAAGCATGGAGCAGTGGGGAGACTGAGGCAGATGGGTTTCCGGAGATGCATGGCTTGGGCATTTGGAGTTCCCCTTCCCAGACTCCCAGGGCTGGCTCCCCGGCTCCCCTCTCCCCAGTGATGTGTATCGTACGCATTCCGAGGAGCATGGGTTGCCATCTAGAGTGGGCGCTCTGAGTGGCACTTATCACACCATCTGGTTGCTCATCGTTTGATTTGTTCCTTTGGCTTCACACGTTCTTCTTTAAACTTGCAAAAGCTCCCAGAAGGCTTCTCACACTTATTAGTCAGCGAGCTTGGGTGTAAGTTAATTGATCCCATTTCTGATCCGGGATGAGCCTCTGTGTTCTCCCCCGGCAGGTGGGGATAATAATGCTGCTTTCCAGGGTGTGTGTGTGAAGGGGTCCCCGCTGACACTGGGAGGGACAATGAGAGCTCTGCACTCTGGGTGTGTCAGACTGGCCAGGGGGCACTGGGGAAAGGGTTCCAGAGCAGAGGACCGAGGTGTGCTCTTGACACAGGGTGGGGGCAGGTATGAAGGAGAGCTGGAGGATCGGAGGAGGGATGTCAGAGGTGGGAGGTAAAGACTGGTTCTTAGGCTCCCCACCTGCAGCCCCTGGAAGAAAGTATGCTTGTCTGGCTGCAAAGGGCTTCAGGAAGAAGCTGGGCCTCCAGCAAGGTCAAGGACCTGAGAGGTGGGAGTTAGGGGCCAGGTTGGAGGAGTTTGGCTGTCTCTGGTTCTTTTGTCCAGGGTTAGGAGACCAGGGTGACTCCCTAGCCCATGTCCGCTGCCCTATCCTGGGCCCACTGGCAAAACAGAGCACAAAGGGCTTGGGCGGGCCCCATTGAGGGACTGCACTGAGCTGTTTGCCTAGGAGCTGGGGAAGGGCTGGCCAGAGGCTGGGGAGGAAAGTTGTCTGAGGTCATGCAAGTGGACTGGGGTGCATGGATGTATGCATTTATGCAGGTGCTTAAGCTTTTTATTCAGGTCTCCAACTCACAAAGCATCCAGATAATCCGTGTCCCCAGGTCCAGAAACACGGTCAGCCCCTGAGTGTCCCCATGCCACCTGCCCGTCACTGCTCTCCCATGGCCAGTCTCCCATGGCCTTTACTTCCAAAGCGTTAGAACAGTTATGCCTGGGCTTGGACATCACAAAGAGCAAGTGTTCTTTCGTGTGTGGCTTCTTCTCTCAGCGTCCATGTGTGATGTTCACTCATTTCATTGCATGTGGTCAAGACAGAGTCTTGCTAAGTTGCTGAGACTGTGCTCAAACTTGATTACAGTCATAGGTTGCCAGACCCAGCTGCAGTCCTTGTGTGGCTGTGCTGTGTGTCTCCATTGGTGGACATTGGGTTATCTCTGGGACTTTGGGAATAGAGCAGCTGTGACCACTCTTGAGTGTGACTTCTGCTGGACTCCTGAAGGCATCTCCACCGGGTGTTCCCGGGAGTGGAGTCTCTGAACTTCTCATGCACTGTCACATTAGTTCAGGACTAGGTTGATCTGGGTCAAAGCCTTGGCACGATTCCCAAGTCTGGGAGCCGAGTACCTGGAATATGGACCGACAGTCTGGGAAGTGGAGACGGAGGAGAGGCCTCTTAGGACCAGAGAAAGGACCCCAGGCTGGTTCATGTCCCAGTTTCTCATCAGGATCCTTTTTCCTCCCTCTTTCTTTCCTTTCTTCTTTCTTTCTCTCTCTTTCTCTCTCTCTTCTTTCTTTCTTTCTTTCTTCATTCCTTCCTTCCTTTTCTTTCTCTGTCTCTGTCTTTTTCCTTTTGCTTTTGAGACAGGGTCTAACTATGTAGCCGAGACTGCCCTTCAACTCCTGGCAATTCTCCTGCCTCAGCCTCCTGATACTAGGATTATAGGACTGTGCACCACACCTGGCTTGTCTCCCGATTCCTTTTCTGCCATTGGATCCAGATAATTTGCTTGGAGGGCTGCAAGGCAGGGATGCAGGTCTGGAGAGCTATGTGCATTGTGGCTTAAGCATTTTGATTCTAGGGAGAAGTCCCCCTCAAACTGCATCCTACTCTGTGGCCAGGGTCAGCCCTTGGGTGCCAGTGTGTCCTCAACAGGAAGAAGGAGGCTGGGAGGGGGCAGTTGGCCATTTGCTTGGGTGAGCAAGGTCTGGGAGGGGACATGGGAATGGTGGACCAGGGGTGTGGAGGTGGATAATGCCTATTCTGTGGGGTCCAGGCAGCCCCAGGGAGAATCAGGAGGAGGAAACCCATGGAGGCCCTGATAGTTAGAAACAAAAAACCCTGACATTGGTCAGCAGATCAGTCTGAGTGTGAAAGGGAGAATCACCTGTCCTTGGCTTCCAATCTGGGGAAGGAAGTGGGGTCCTGGCAGGCTATGTGCTGGAGGGGCCTGCAGGGGAGGCATTCCTCGAAGAGCAGAGGGAGCTGGTGGCCTCCCCGTGGGGCTCTGCCTTCCCTGGGCCCCTCTATACTTCATGGTTAAGTATGCGAGTTGGGGATTCAAACATGATGGACATCTCGTTCTGCATTCTGCACACTTCTCTGAGGGATCAAGAGAGAAAGGGTGAACAGGTGTAAGCACATTTCCTCTGGTTTCCAGGCTGAGCTTGGGCACTGTGGAGGGCTGACAGGGTCACCGCCCTCCCCTGGCTGCTCCGCCCCCTTCTCCCCACCCATTCCCTGCTTCTCTTCCCCAAGAAGCCTCAGTGGAGCAGATTGTCAGGAGCTTACGGGGCTGTGCCTTCCTCTCTGCTTTGACTTGAGGAAGTAGCAAGTGGGGGCTTCTTGGGAGAAGTCCACTGGCTGGAGTCTGCCAGTGTCTGCCCTGGGTCTCCCCTGGCCTGGCTCTGCCAGATGCCCGGCCTTGCCAGTACTCAACCTGAGGATGCAGGGCCCTGGGTGGCTCCGGGACTCTTTTCCACATGGGTAGCTGTGGACAGACCGGCCTGAGAAAGCTGCATGCATCCTCCTGGGCCTGCCCTGTGTCCCCGCTGCCCAGAGGCTGGACTCCTGGCTTTTGCTGTGGCGGCAGCCCTATGCAGACAGCCCATCGCGCGCATGTCTCCAGCTGTGCACATCTGGAGGGGCTCAGCTTCCCCCGGATGCCAGGGAAGTCTGTGATCTAGGGGAGATGGGGGGGGTATGCCATTTCAGGAGCCAGCAGCGCAGGGTAGGGGTGGGGACAGGGAAAGGAGGCCAAGGGCAAAGGGTAGAGACAGCAGCAGAGAACACATCTGGGAGGAGATGGGCCTCGCCGGGTAACAAAAATACCACTGTCTGTACACGCGAGAATCTGTTTATGTCTCAGCGCCCGGCTTTCCTTGTTTGTATGGAAATATGGCCGCCCGTGTTAGCTCTGAGATATATAACTGGGCCTCGAAGGAAATACATTTCAATTCAGCCGACAGCAGGAGTGGGAAGGGACTCGGGGGAAACGTGTCAGCCTGCTCTGCTGACAGTCAGGGCTGGTGGTGGCACGCAAGGAGTGTGTCACTCAGGCTGGGCCAGCCTGGCCAGCCTGCTCTCTCCTGTGTCCTCTGTCTAGGGAGTCTGCGGGGCAGAAATGTGGGTGGCACCTCTGGAGCTCCTGGGAAGGGGCAGAGAGGTCTGAGTCACCTCTGTGTCCCAGTATCTGCAGACCTGCCATCCTGGTCCACAGTGAAGAGAGCCCTTAAAAAGCCAGCCAAGGGGGCTCTGTCTCTTTCCCCAGGGCCGCAGTGAGGTTGCAGCGGTGGGCTGCTCACATGTCCACTATGTGGGTCGCTTCTGTTGATGTTTTGTGAGAATCAGCTAAACCTTTCCTGTGAAGGGCCGTCTACCACTCGCAGCAAAGATTTGGCGGGGTGGGGGTGGGGCTGTGTTTCTTTGTCATCCTGGCTCTGATTTCTTGCCAGCTCAGCATCTTCCCTCCTGCCTCCTCAGTCTCCCTGCACTGCCCCAGGAAGAAGGGCACCCTGTTGCGCTAACACCCCCTCCCTACGCCCAAAGGCTTCCTGCAGAGGTGGCTGTCATGGGGCTTAAACCACTGCCTGGCACAGCAAGCAGGTGCAGACGCCCTCTGCCTCCTTCCTGGAGGCGCCGCACAGTTCCTATGGTGGTGGTTTCCCCTCATCCCTGGAGCCTCTCTGTCCCTGGGCCTCCTCTCTCTCTGGCTCCTAGGCTGTGCCAGGAAACTCCAGCCTGCTGCTTGAATATGCAGGGTCCTTTGTGCTCTGTCTGCTCTGGGCATCCACCCAGGGGGCAGCGAAACCAAACAGAACTTTCCCTGAGGCTCCCACAACCAGCTTTTCCCAGGGTGACTTTTTCCCATTATCTTGGTCTCTAGAAGTGCTTAGCAAAGGTGTAGAAACAGCAGTTCGGGTGAGGGAACCTCAGAGCCTAGGGAACCCACTGACCCTGGAAGCCGGGAGTGGGCTAGGCAACTCTGGGTGCTGTCTGCATCTGAGTGACTAGCCAGGCTTTAGGCATGGCTAGACAGAACCAGATTCGGGGGGGGGGCGCGGGCATGGTCTTGCTCTCTTTTTCTTTAAATTTTTATTTAAGGAGATAAAGAAAAAAAGACAGAAAAAGGGTACAAGTTATACAGAATTTCAGCAAAAGTAAACAATAGGAAATCATTAGTTGATAGATTACATATTGTCATCTTAGAGATAGTTGTTTACGTTACAAAATTAAAGCATATGAAGTGGACATTCAAGCAGTGAGACTGCAAACAGTTCTGTTCAGTGATCCAACAAAACTCAGTAATATGGTTATCTATCTTATACACTTAAATATACACGCAGTTATGTCCTTGAGAGCACTTTGTTTTTCTCTCTTTTGTACAATAACAATTACACATTTTGGGTTTTATTTCTCCCACAGTTCTTACTATTCTTTTGAAGAGAGTAAAACCAAATGTGACCTAACAGAACAGAGTCAGTCAAATCAAAAGGATGGGCATAATACATACTGTAAAAACAGAATACAAGGTGATCAACAATGGTTACCATACTGCCTCTTGCTATCTTAAAAAGAATTACCTATTGCTGTCTGTTTTTCACCCTGTTCCCTTGGGGAAGGGGCCCCTGCAGCCTGAGCCATGAGCCTCGGTTTCCCAGGGCTGCCCAGGGAGGCTGAGCGGCTGTGCACTGCACAACTCCACATGCAGCCACAGTACACATGGTGCTCAGGGGTCTCGGAGGCTGTGATTTGAGAGCGTTAGGTTGTGAGGGTGAGAAAGGAGGGAGCTGTCTTACCTGATTCCCATCTGACCCACTGATAGACGAACTGATAGAATGCGGAGAGCCACCGAGTTTGCTTTATTTAAGGCTCTTGCGAAACTTCTCAAGCCTAACTGATATTGTAGAAATCAGTGCAGGTTTCTGAGGGAAGCATGGGGAGGCCAGTGCTATGGGAATGGGGGGGGGCGGACAGGGCTTCCCTTCCTTCCGCTCTGCCTGGTGTGGGCTGGGCCTCTTGGGTGGCTCCATTTCCCCTCTTCTGCTTCCCACCCCGTCTCCTCCTTGCCTCTAAGGTCTGATTCCCAGCAAGAGGCATCCTGGGACCAGCTTGTGAGTGTCTCTTCCACACGGGGACCCGCCAGAAGGGGCCTCATGTCAGTCACTGGAGCCGGGCAAGGGCCAGGCCGGTGGAAGCAGGGCAGAAGGGGACAGCATCACAGCAGCCCTGGTGACACAGAAAGCCTCTCTTGGCTCCCTCTTCTTGCTGGCTCGCTGCCTCTTGTCCCCTCTCTCCCTCCTCTTCCTCTGTTCCCAGCGGCCTGACACAAGCTCTCTCCTGCCACCTGTCAGGCGTGGTGACAGTAGGCTGTAGGTTGGGGACACTGAGGCCAGGAGCAGCACAATGACTTCTTCCCCGCAGGGGCTGGTGCAGACAGCCTGCACGGGGCCACTCCCCAGCGCACCGTCCTCCCCTTGAGGCCTGCTGGGTGTCCGCTTTTCTCTTCCTGAGCAGGGGCTGCTGGGGCTGCTGATAGCCGCCAGCCCTGATGATCCTGGTGCCCTCGTGACTGTGCCTGGGAGCCCCCTTGGCAGGCAGGAAGTGCCAGAATGTGACATCCCTGGAGCAGCCTTCACCCAGTGACTGGCAGGGGTATAGGCGCAGGGAGACCTGTATACCCCAGCTTCCTTCCCTGGCCAGGATGAGGTGAGGCCGAGCCTGGCCCAGCACCAAGGCTGAGGCTGTGTCCCCCGTGACTGCCTCCCCGGCTGCCTGTTGGGCTCACTCCTCCATCTCGGTTTCTGGGCTGCCCAGAGCATGTCACCAAGAAGGGAGGGAGAAGCTGGGTGTGGCGTCACACACTGTCACCCCAGCACTCTGTGAGGCTGAAGAAGGAGAGTCACGAGACAGAGCCCAAACCAGGCGACTTAGCAATTTAGCAAGACTGTATTAAAGAAATAACAATAGAAAGGGCTGGGGATGTAGCTCAGTGCTAAGGCTCTGGTTTGGATTATGGTATCACACCTCGTCCCCCAAAAAGAAGGAAAGTAAGGGTCTCTCCACTGCCGGGCCGGGGCAGTGGGGGGCGGCTGCCCTTGCCAGTTGGACTTGGAGAGCCCAAGACCAGAGCAAATTCATGCTGGCTTTTCACAGTGGGGGCCCAAGGCTGAGTGGGAGAAGCGGGACAAGGGAGCAAAACAGCACTGGGCCCCCTGAGCACAGCACCCCTTAGATGCATCAGTCATGTGGGGAGCAAAGAAGCACAGAGCTCGGGCCCCGGGCCCTAGATCTTGCCGTCAGCAGGGCAGGGCTGGCCTGCAGTTTCTGAGCTGCCGGGCGGCAGACCACACCTGCAGAAAAATCTGACTTAGAGGTGCTGTCTGCAGCAGGGTTGACCCAGTGGTTTCCTACGCAGCAAGAGGGCAGAGTGGGCTCCTGCTCCATGGGGTGCTGGTGAGAGCAGGCCCACTCTCCTAGCCCCTTCTCTGCCGTGACCAAGGAAGATGGGAGCCAGGCTGGGGTCCTCAGGTGGTGGCCTCCCGGCTGCTGGGTCACACCTGATGGCACCCACACTCTGCCCACAGTGCTGGGTGGCCCCGAGTCCCGTGGCGTCCTCCGAAAGATGAGCGACTTGCTGGAGCTGATGGTGAAGCGCATGGACATGCTGGCCAGGCTGGAGAACAGCAGCGAGCCGCACCGGGTCACTAGCGACACGCACCTTGCAGCAGACAGGTGAGGGACTGGTGGGCACGGGGTGGCGGTGGGTGTGCCCTGGTGTGCTGGGGCTGGGGCACAGGTGCAGTGCACTCTCGGAGCACAGTCCGGGTCTTGTCAGTTGTGCTAGTCCCTTTCCTGGCACCAGAAGAAATACACCATAAATTGGAAGGAGGAGTGGCTCACGTTAGCTCACAGTTTCAGAGAGCTTATTCTGTGGTTGGCTGGCAGCAAAGCATTAGTGGCCTGGTGGAAGAGCCTCCGGCTGGGCCCCCCCCTCCTTACTGCACATGCAGCTGTGAACTCCGCAATGGGTTAACCCCTGCCTGAGTGCAGTGGCCCCCTGGTAAATCACCGTCTTCAAAAAACAGAGACTGTCTGAACCATTACACCAGGCGGGGCAGTGCACACCTGTAACCTCACCTTTTGAGAGGTGGAAGCAGGAGGATTGCCACAGATTTGAGAGCAGCCTGGGCTACATAGTGAGTTCAAGGCCAGCCTGTACTACACAGCGAGACCCTGTCTCCAAAAAACAAAGTACCAAGGATATAGCTGAGTAGCACAGTACCTGTGCTTACTTGGCAATTGCAAGGTCCTGAGTTCAATTCCAGGTACCCAAAACCAAACAAAACAACAGACAGCAAACCCCAGAACAAAACACCAATCTTTCCCATTGTTGTTCACATGAATCAAACTGTACCCCAATAATGGAGCAAAAGCAACCCCATAATCTGGTATGAACCGGAGTGCGGGCTTCAGGCACCCAAGTTTAACCACGGTTGACATTTTGCCCATTTGCAGGCTTTCTTTTTCCCATTTTAAGTAAAGCATCTCGGGTGGACAGAGAAGGCAGCTTACTGCTCCAGAGACACGCAGGCTCCCGCTCACCCTGGAAACCTTTACACGTGTGCAGAACTGCAGGCACAGGGCGTGCACACACATTCGTAGTGCTTGGATTACACACGTTTTGCACATGGGGCATTTCACAGCTCGTTCCCGCCAACCTGATCCCCCCGCCCTCCGAGATCCATGCTGGTTTTGAGCTCAGGCTCTGCAGAGCACGGGGCGATGACGGTGGACCCGGGACCAAGTGAAATTTCCTGGTTTGTTTATCCTACATATTCTCCTCTCCAGTCAGCCAAGCCCCAAGAATTTGTGCCACTTTCCCGCATGCCTCAGTGGCATCCCAGGAACCCCAGTTCTGTGAAATCCAAATGGCGAGCGTGTGTGTGGGAATCTCCTGCCTTTGCCTCTGTCGCTTTAGAAGCGAGGCTCTGGGCATTTCTGGGTGAAGCTCACGGAGTGAGCTTCCTGGCTGGCCTGAGGAAGGGAGGCAGTGACCAGGCACTCTCCTGAGGTGGGCTGGCGCCCAGCACGCCCTTGGGCGGGTGTTCAGGAGTCCGCTGCCGCTTGGTCTGCCTGTTGTCAGTTGCTGGCCCTGAGCCCAGCAGCTCTGGAAATTCTCTTTGCGAGCATCCTTAGTTCTGCTGTCCTGGCTGCCTTGAGGTCCTGAATCCACCACACACTTCCTTTTGCATGGACCTTTTGACAGTGCCAGGTCCCTGAATAAAGTGGATGAGGAGGACACGTTGTAATGTCTTCATTTGACAGAAACTGCCGTAAATGTTTTGAATCAATTTCAGAACGTCAGGCAGCTATGAAAAGATACTCACAAAAGGAGACTTCCAGAAATGTTTCAGAGTGGCAGGAATGATGGGTAAACGTGTTCCAAGTCAGAGGGAGGATGTTGAGGGGGATGACTGGCAACGTGTCTTGTATTGTGATTTTGAAAATTTAAACATTCTTAGCTCTTAGCTTTTGATCACGTCTCCTCTTTGAGATTGATCATGAGTGATGGGGGCAAAGTCAGGCTCGAAAAGAGCTGGGAGTAGGATAGGAAGTGGAGAGAGCTGCAAGTGCAAAGGTCCTGAGGCAGAGCTCACTTGGTAAGCTGGAGGAAAGAGGCATAGTACAGTGTGGAGTGGGTGGGACCAACAGGACCAGAGCGCATAGGGCTTTGTCAGCTATTTTAAGAACCATGAGAAAGTCACTTGTTTTGTTACTATTTTGTTTTATTTAAAAATATCACTGACTGCGATGTGAGACATGGGTAGCCAAGTGTCGGAAAGGGAAAGAGAGGCTGGTGGAGGAGAAGAGGGGATGGGCGTTGGGCTTCCCTGGGCTCCAGGCCATGAGACCTTTTCCATGTTCCCAGTCAACCTTCTCCGCTGCCCCTGTGTCCTGGCCCTGTCCTCCCTGCCTTGGGGCTCGTCCTACTCCCGCCTGGCCCTGGACTGCCCTGGGCCTTGTGCTTTGCTGCCTTCCTCCAGCTGTGCCCAGCCTCTGCCCAAGCACCTGATGGGGCCGCACCCCGCTGGCTCCTGCTGGGCGTCCTGCTGGCCCTGGGCCCTGACCTGCCTCCCTGGGCTGCCAGCACATCACTGTCTCTGCCTCCCCCTCCCCTGCCCTGCCCTTCAGCTCCTCCAAGGGAAGGAGGGTGCCTTCAGGCAGAGTGCGTGCTGCACCTCACGCCGTCCTGGAAACGGCAGCCACCCATCCATCAAGGCCAGCAGGGCCCATCAGACCCTGCGGGCAGAGCCATCACTTCCAGGGACACTTGCTTCAGGAGAGATGCACGCACATCCCCAGTGCCCGGACTCTGCAGCGCCTCCCAGCCTCAGCCAGCCCGGCAGGGGACGTGTGCTGCAGAGGGGCTGCCTCGGGGTGTCCGGCCACTGTCACCTGCATCCATATCCCCCTTGAGATTCCCTGTGGTGTAATAAGAACCTCTGCTGCCCTCCTGCCCTTCTGAAAGCTTCCGTGCTGTGGCCTTCCACCGGTGGCTGGTGCGTCCTCGGGGGAAAGAAAATTTGCTATTTTTGCCTAGGAAAACATAATTAGGGAAGCAGATTGCTGCAAACAGCATCAGATTATGTATCCTAAAGCCAAATCCTAATGATTTTTGGATTTTCATTGAGCTTCTCTTCAGTGGCAAAATTGCTGAGGTTGAAGGCTGGCTGTGTTCAAGGTCATCTGTATCTGTCCCATGTCCAAGTCCAGGCTGGGGACTCGTATAGAGAGAAGGGCACACCAAGGAGTGGGCGTAAAGCTTTGCCCTCAGAAAGCTGATGACCCACTGCAGAGTGGGGATGAGGACTGTGTTCGGAGTAACAGCACACCCAGCCCTGTATCTCCTCTTTCTCCCAGAACCCTTTTGGTGGTCCTAATGTGCCTGGCTCCATTCCTCTATGACCCTTCCAGTCTGTTCCCAGCCTCTCTGCTGTTCCTGGAGCACAGTGGCCTCCCACTGGCCACAGGCCCTTTGCACTGGCTGTCCCCTCCTTTTCCTGTATCTGGCTGTAAAGAAGCCCTCCCTTCTTTCTAGTCTTTGCTAAGGTGGCTCCATTGAGGCCTTCCCTGACCAACTCTTGTTAAAAAATGCGCCCCATTCCCCTATTTCTCTTTTTAGCACCTTCTCACCGTGTGTTCACTATTTGTTTTCTTGTTTTTCTCTCCCTGGCTGGAGTGCATGCTGTGCCAGCACAGGGGCTTGGTCTGTTTGCTTTCTGTGCTTCCACCTCAACAGACCCGGGTTAGCTGTTCTCTAGCTCAGTAAGAACTTGGCAAAGACAGGAAGGGAAGGAGGGCGAGGAGGGTGGAGCGGAGAGGAAGGCAGGGCCCCTCGGAGCCTCTTAGGTTTGAGTCTGATGGGTTACAAACGGGGAGCAGAAGGCAGGGAAGTGTGATTTTGGCAAACTCCGCTTGGACGAGGTAGGTCTCGGTTTCCCATTGTGCCCTGGGAGCTTGAGGGCGCGTGGGGACCCAGGCCTTGCTGTGCCTGGCTGCGTGACCCAGCTCCGGGGGACACAGCCTGCCTTGCAGTGGTGGCTTCCTCTGGAGCTGGAGCTGTCCAGGAAGCGAACCCCACCTTCCAGGGGTTCAAGGGCCTCTGGCTTGTGCACTGTGCGATGCGCTGATTCACAGCATCAGACGGCCGAGCGGTGGTGGAAACGTCTGTTGGGCAGCCTGCTCTGCGGGGCTCACGCAGCCGTTAAGAAGCACGTGGAGAGGCAGAGGCTGGGGTTAATGTGAGATGAAAACAGGGGAAGAGCAGGTTGTGTAATTATAGATGGTGCTGGAGTGCAAGCGCGTGAAATTTAATGCAAATAGAAGCATCATGCAGGAGAGATGGAAGAGGAGAGATATGTCCAAATTCTTGTCTCTGAGAAATCAGATAAGGATTTCTTTCTAAATTAAAAAGGCATTATTTAAAAGCTCGGCTTCCTTGCTCTTTCTGTGTGAGGGAACCAGGGGTGGCCAGGGGCTCCATAGCTCTGGGAGTCTGCGTGGGAGGGCAAGGCTGGGGACACTTCTGTTAAGACAACTTCCTGCTCCACTCACAGAGTGAGCCTTGTCTCTCTCTAGCCCGTGTGGGACCAGGCCCTGGATTTGCTACTGCTGGTGGCTGCCCACCCTCCCCAGGTGTTTGTCTCCCTCTGGATTGCAGAGACCCTCAAGGAAGGGTCTGGGACAGTGGAGGACTCTGGTGGCGTTGGCCTGTCAGGAGGTGGTGACTCAGGGTCTTGGGCCAGGAAGGGAGCCAGGCACTTCAGGATTAGGGGTGTGCATTCGAGGGCGTGGACTGACTTAAGCTCCCTGTGGTGAGCTGTGCCGTGGAGTCAGGACAGGTGTCTGCGAGTGCAGAGGCTGAGACTGGGCCCTGGCCACGCAGGTGCCAGAGGCAGGGTAAGATCAGCATCTCTCGCTCTGAGCCTTCTGCTGCCCAGGCCTCCAGGGATCAGCTGGGGCTGTCGTCCTCTGTTCCTGTTTGTGGGGAATCTACAGAGTGGGCAATCTAGACCTTGGTCAGGAAATAACAGAGGTGAGGCATCGTTGGTGGTCAGGACAGAGGCCACCTGGGTGAGAAGAATCTAGGGCTCCTAGGCAGGAGAGTCATGGCCTGGAGAGGGGGGTGAGTCGGGTCACATCAGCTTTGTTGCACTGTTAGGGCGGACAGC